TAACGGAATTCAGGGTGGACGTGGAGAACCACTAGTCACAGCAACAATGGACAGTAGAGACAGGATGTTGGAAGAAAGTGTGGGATACTTTGAGACGACACCGGCCAGGGTGACCAGCAGAGCAAGCATTAGGCTACACCCTGCGGTAACACCATCGCCTCCTATATTGACACCGGCAAGATCCGCCGAGAGGATGCCGGGTGTTGGCATCAGGGCGCAGGAGCCAGTGACGGCACAAAAGCTCTTCCAACAGACCGGAAGAGTTGGGGAAGTGATGACACCTACGGTCGGCACAGCGGAGTCCTCTCCTCAGGCAAGATTCATGTCAACACCAGTGACATGGGGACCGGGGGTGGTAGAGCAGCCAGTCTACCGGAGTTTGACTGATTTGGGCGGAGTAGAACCAGCAGAGGTTCGACGGCAGAGACCTACTGGAACGAGCGATGTTCTGGTGGAGTCTGGATGGCCTTCGGCCCGGCCAAGAATGCAGGCTCCAGCGGAAATGCCAGGTAGCATAAACACCCCACAGTCGGCGTTTGATGCGAGGTGTAATCTGCAGCAGCGGTTGGGAGAGGCGCCTGGACATCAGACGTGCACAGCACCACAGCGGGTGGTGGAAGAAGTCAGGAGCACAGAGCAGCACGTGAGGAAACCAGTGGATCCGGGAGAGAAAGGATCAGGAGAAAAGAAAACTCTGCCTGAACAAAAGGGGCAGGATCCACCCAAGAGAGCAGCAATTGCCGGGGCAGAAAAAAACAGCAGAGTTCATCGGAAGCCAAATATCGTGCCGGATCGATTCGCCAGGGTGGTGCCATGGAGAGACTACAAATCTCTTTTTAAGTCATGTGCAGTTATTAATAGCTGGACGGCAGAGGACAAAGCTTACTTCCTGGCAGCGAGTCTCAAGAGTCAAGCACAGCAAGTGCTGGGAGACAGGGCTACGGGAGAAGTGCTGACCTATGCAGAGCTCACAGCAAGACTAGAAAGACGTTATGGGCCTGGTGAACAAGCCGAAACGTACCTAGCCGAGCTTAGAAGCAGAACAAGGACAGAAAACGAAAGTTTGCAAGCGCTGGGGCAGGGAATACGTCGACTCACGGAGCTGGCGTATCCTGAGCTGCCCCGAGATAGCAGAGAGCGTCTGGCACGAGGGTATCTGGTGGATGCCAACAGAGTGTTGAGAACTTACTGGAGAGTCCAGATAGAGACAAGGTGAAGAAGCTACTCATCGAATATCAGGACGTTTTCTCAAAGGGCACGGGAGACCTGGGAAAACGGACCTGGTGCGTCACGAGATCAGGACAGATGATACGGCCCCCATACGCCAACGTCCCAGACGTCTCCCTACCTGGCAACGGGCTGAGGCAGACGAGCAGGCACAAGACATGCTACAGAAGGGGATAATTGAGCCATCAAATAGCCCATGGGCGTCTCCAGTCGTCTTAGTGAAGAAGAAAGATGGATCCACCCGTTTCTGCGTGGACTACCGGTTTCTCAACGAACACACACTGAAAGATGCATACCCGATACCCAGGGTGGACGACAGCTTAGATTCGCTAGCAGGGGCACAATGGTTTTGTACCCTAGATCTGGCCAGTGGATACTGGCAAGTGAAACTAAATGAGGATGCCAAGGCCAAATCAGCTTTCGTTACCAGAGGATGACTGTACCAGTGGAAGGTCGTGCCTTTTGACCTCTGTAACGCCCCGGCTACATTCGAGAGGCTGATGGAAATGATTCTCTCCGGGCTTCAGTGGGAAACACTACTACTGTACCTAGATGACATAGTGGTCTTCGCCAAGACGGTGGATAAGGAGATAGAGAGACTTGAGGAAGTCTTCCGGAGGCTGAGACGGGCCAACCTCAAACTAAAGCCGAAGAAATGTAGCCTCTTCAAACAATCGGTAGCCTACCTGGGACATGTGATATCTAGTGAGGGTGTAGCCACGGACCCCGAGAAAGTGAGAGTTGTGGAGGAATGGCCAACACCTCGGTCCACCAAAGATGTAAGGAGTTACATTACATTGGATTGGCTTCTTACTACCGACGTTTCATTCAAGGGTTTGCCAAGATTGCCCAACCATTGCACCGACTTATGGAAAAGAACCGGATGTTCCTGTGGACAGAGGACTGCGAGGTAGCTTTCCGCACTCTGAAGACACAGTTGACATCAGCACCCATACTAGTCTACCCCGAAGAGGGAGGAGAGTTTGTACTAGACACGGATGCCAGTAGCACAGGCCTGGGAGCTGTGCTATTCCAAAAACATGATGGTGTGGAGAAAGTCGTTGCATATGCCAGCCGTATTATGTCAAAGCCAGAGAGGAATTACTGCGTCACGAGGCGAGAACTCCTGGCCGTTGTGACATTTGTCAAGCACTTCCGGCATTACCTGTATGGTCGACACTTTGTAATCAGAACTGATCATGGAGCCTTGAGATGGTTGCTAAACTTCCGTGACCCAGAAGGACAACTGGCTAGATGGATGGAGATCTTGAGTGAGTACGACTTCACAATCCAACACCGGCCAGGTCGAGTCCACCAGAATGCCGATGCACTCTCCCGCATGCCATGCAAGCAGTGCGGAAGAGGTATGGAGCAGAACGAAAAGGACCAGGTGAAGATGCCTAGAATTAGTTGCCCAGAAGATTCGGCAATTGGCGATCCTCGGAACGAGGGAAGACAGGAGGAGACAGAAGGGAAAGGTCAAGGCCAACAAACCTTCCGACGACAGGGGTGAATGCAGATCGTGGGACCCCAATGATAAGTCTCTCACCAAAATGGACGCTGAACGAACTGAGGGAGAAACAGTTGGGTGATCCTACGATTGGACCTATTGTCAGAGCTAAGGAGAATGGAGGGGACAGACCAGAGTGGTAATCTCTCTCCACTTAGTCAGCAGCAACCAAAACATATTGGGCCCAGTGGCAACAGCTGAAGATGCAACAGGGAGCTCTATGCCGACGCTTTGAGACAGATGACGGAAGGCAATGTAAGTTGCAAGTAATTTTGCCGTCATGCCTGCGGGAAAGTGTCCTGGATGAACTCCATGATAGTAAAACGGCATGTCACCAAGGAGTGCGCAAGACCCTACACAAGGTCCGACAAAGGTACTACTGGGCAGGAGTATCGGCCGATGTGCGTTCCAAGGTTCGACAATGCACAGTGTGTGCAAGGAGGAAATCATCGGGCAAGAAACCCCGAGCTCCCCTTCAACAATACACGGTTGGCGCACCGATGGAGAGAATCGCTCTGGATGTTATGGGCCCCCTGCCCAGGAGCGACCGAGGCAATGCGTATGTACTAGTTGTGGTAGATCCATTTACGAAGTGGATTGAGGCGTACGCACTGCCAGACCAGAAGACACCGACCATAGCAGAAACTCTGGTGGAGCAATTTATTTGCAGATATGGCTGTCCAAAAGAACTCCACAGTGACCAAGGCACAAACTTCCAGTTTGCCATATTCAAAGAAGTTTGCAGATTGCTGGGGATCGGCCAGACGCGAACTTGCCCATGGAACCCTAAGTCCGACGGATTCATTGAAAGATTCAACCGAAGCTTGGTGAATCTGGTTGGGCCGTTCGTAAAGCCAGATCAGAAGGATTGGGATGTCCAGTTGGCATACTCGATGATGGCATACCGTAGTACGGCTCAAGAAAGCACCGGAGAGTCACCTTGCACCATGCTTATGGGGCGGGAGATAGCACTACCACTACACGCGCTTACCGAACTACCAAATGACAGTGATGACCACATGTCGACTGACTATGCTAAAAATCTCCGACAGAAAATGAGTGAGGCACATCAAAGAACTCGGAGCAAAATGAAAGTAAATCTTCGGAGGCAAAAGCGCAACTATGATCGCCATGTTTCGGGTAGCAAGATAAAAGCTGGAATGTTTGTATGGCTGCACAACACTGCACGCAAGAAAGGATTGTCTCCCAAGCTGCAGTTCAAATGGATTGGCCCGTATCTGGTCCTGAATAGGTTATCAGACGTGACCTTCCGGATACAGGAGAAACCAAAATCAAAGCCGAAGGTTGTGCATTATGACAAACTGAAGATCTACACAGGCCCAGAGAGAAGAAAATGGCGAACCGAGGGGAGAGATAGCGTTCCTGTGGAGCCGGAGACCGAGGATGAGCAGGAACCTCCACCAACTGATGAAGATGGTGTTCACTTGGTGGACGATGATCCACTTGGAGAAACCACAGACAACATGGGGGAACGCCCACTTCACCTCGAGCCCTCTGTTGAGCGATCGACAGAACAAGAATCGGCGGGGGAGGAACGAATTTCCGTCCAAGGAAACGGCAGTGAAGATATCACAACGGGCCTAATTCCAGACGAGGAGCAAGAAACAGCATCAAATACCCAACTCGTCGTCGGGCGGTACCCAAAACGCCAGTGGCGATGTCCCGCTAGGCTACAGGATTACGAAGTTTAGCCCATACAAGAAAGAAAGGGATTTAGCAGAAAAATCAGCTAAAATGGTCATCGTTGCGGCAACTTTTAACTGCCGGCCACCACAGCCACCGCAAGTTCCACCTCAACCTCCACTGCTACTGGCCACTCCAAGACTGGGGGAAAGTCATTGAAGCTGCTTAGGCAGCTTCACACCGAGATGGTGCCCCAAGTGAGCTCCTCCACGGAAAGTGAAGACCCAGCTGGGGAGATGGCGGCAGATCACATCGATGTAACCACCATCACAAGAGTTTTCCGCCGAGGGGTCCTGTTCAACCAGAAGGAGGCCAAGCAGGACTTTTATTTCTAGAGAGATAAGAGAATTAAGTCAAGCTCATGTATAAAGTTACACAAAAGTTGTCAAGTATTTATAAAAGTTAAAAGAGTTTTGAAGTTCAAAGTTTTAAAGTTTAGTTTAGTTTTTAAACGTTTAACAGTTGATGTTAAAAGTTAAAACATTGAGGACCGAGTTATCTTTAAAGAGTAAGATATGAACCACTTTATTTTGTTATACATGTACATGTACTAGACCAGATCACGCTGATCAAGACGGGTCTGTTTGAGGTAAGACATCTGTCGGCAAGTTCAGTCAAGAACCAGTGGTCGACCGACTAGTGGTCAAAACATCATCAGGAAACTCCTTGGTCCTTATGATGAGTGAAGCTAGTGTAACCAGCAATTCCAACTATTGTCTGAAATAGTCAACTGGACTATTCCAATGATAGCTGACTAGGGTTAATTCTAATGGAGATAGTCAAACTATGGTTAACCTTGGTCTCGCTCAAACTTGCACTGAGGTTTGGACAAGCCTCCAACCCCTTTACCCACACCCAAAAACGTCAGCCTTGACGAACTTCATTGAAAAGTAATTGATTTCCATTTACATATTATGACCCGGAATAAACATGAAAGAGTGTACGAACAAAGTAAAATTTATTTTACATTTCTGACTGGATACCATTAAATGAGTCTTTAGAACATTCTTAGCCTTTCACTGGGATGTTTAACTGAGTTGACTTGATGTATCCATGGATGTCATGTTGGTGACAACCGTCTAGTGTCTTTTTATTTAATAAGATTTGTTGATGAGACAGTCACTCAAAATAAGCTTTAAAAGATGAACGTTATCCTGACAACAATACCCTTGACCGGTTTTACTCTTTTTTGATGAGCACATGGTATGAGCATGTACCAAGTTCAAAGTTTCACCTTCCCCATAAGAAACCGATGTTTCCTCATACATTTACAAGTAACAGACCCTGAATATTCAAATGCGTTGAACATTCGAGCTATTTGTATCCTGCTGTTTTTGGTTTAGGTGGCAACGATACGTTTCTCGACAGTGGCCGACACGAAGACCAACATGGTGTACTGGTGGACCACGGGGGACAAGTTCTCCCTGGAGGATGCTCATAAGATGCCCCTGGGCAACCTGTTTGACTTGCTCTTTGATTTTGCTCGGAGGGTCAACCGAATGCTGCTGGATGATAGCGAATACGCTCTTCTCTCTGCCGTGGTCATCATGTCACCAGGTATGAAATGAATTCTCCTTGTCATTAACTCAGTCAGGTTCACACATTTCATTGTGCATTTGCCATTCACTGAACAGTAGATAGTCTTGGTCCAGGACTAGTTTTTGTTTTGTTTTGTTCCTCAAATCCAGTCAAATCAAATCCAGTCTTGGGAACCTCGGCTGCCACCCAGGCAATTCCGAGCATACCTCACGCGTACGTATTAGCTTGAATACGACACTCGTGAATACGACACTCGTGAGGTATTCAAGCTCGGAAATTTTTGCGTAGTGCTGCCGAAGTTCTCAAGACTGGATTTGATTCATTTGTTGATAGTGACCTCTAACCTTGCGTCTTGACTGCGCTTGTCAGGGATCAGCTCTTTAGGAGAATGAAACTACAATCCAGTCTTGAATGGAGACTACGTAGTAGAATGGTATACAAATATTGAGTGGCTCAGAGTGGAAAGGGAGGAATATTATCCGCAAGGTAAAATCTAATTTCTTAGTTCAACCTTTATGTTGATTTGTTTTAAATTATTTGACTGAACTAACACAGATCGGCCGGGACTGAAGAATCGCGAACGTGTCAAGCAGCTGCAGTTAGAGCTCCTGCACGCCCTTCATTACGAGGTGTCCCAGAACCACCCAGAGGAGCACGGACTCTTCGCCCGCCTGCTGACCACCATCCCTAAGCTGCGAGAGATCGGCCCCGAACACATCCGCAGACTCATGGAGCTCAAGATCAAGTCACCTGGGTTCCAGTTCCCGGCGCTACACGCGGAAGTCTTTGACCTCAACAGCTCGTAGTACATTGTCGCAAGCACGGCAAGTTTGGTTGGTACTGCTCCAACTGTGAGTTGATTGTATGAGCAATATAACTGTGAAATCAGCACTGGAAAAACAAGTTCAAGAGTTTTTGTGTTCAGTCAATACCCTTATTCTTGACCTTATTTTCCGATTTATGGTCAGTCATATAACACAGCTGTTTACAAATCACATATAAGTAGATATTTAGGTCTCCCTAAAGATAGGCAGTTTACACCTTTTGTTCATTGTTAGAGTGGTACTTATATTCTATCTGCATCTGCCTGACCAACAAGGCTGCATTTCAGTTACCAATAAGCAAGATTTTGTAAAAGTCTTCTGACCAAAATTGTTTGAAATTTTAAAAACTGCGGACCTCACATGGGGAAACAAACCAACCGTCATACATGTATGTATGACAAGTTTGCGTTCTGATTCCCTTTAAACTACAAGAAAAGTTGCCCGGCTTTTAAAACTCGGAGGAGCATGGTAATTTTTTTAATTAAAGTGGATTGCACAAGGGTACATGCATATGTTCATATAGAGAATTGCAAAAACTGAAAGCCTTTCTTCACAGAAATAGGAGGATGGGGGGGGGGATTCAGCTGCAAAAGCTTTTTTAGGGAAACAAAAGAAAAACTGTATTTTTGGCTGAAAATTACAACGTGTAGTTCCATGAAGACAGAAAAAGATAACCTTTAAAATACTGTATGGTATAACTACTACGATAAAGTTCAGCCCATTTTTGCCAACAGCACTGCTGTATCTTTTTTATGTAATTAAACAAGAAAAAAAACAATTGAAAACCAAATTCTGAAAGGTATCTCAAGAACTGTAACCTTGGAGTTCACGGTTTTTTTTCTCCACGAATCCTTCGGTGAACTTTTTTTTCTCAAAAACTCCCCAAAATATTTGAAATATAATCATGTTTTTGAAGGTATTTTTGAGCAAAGCTACTCGTGCATGTTATGTAATTGTTGGAAATCTTCTAAGCAAAAGTTCAAACAATGTACTTTTGCCCCTCATTTTAAAAAAGAAGATACGATATCAAATATCACGTTTACGTTAGTTTTGTATGGAAGTGGGCACTGCATTTCTCTCTTGAGAGTAAACTATAATTTGTTTGTGCTGCCCACATTGCTGCCTTTCCAATGTGTATAATGGGAGAAAGATTGACAATATTTTTCTCGTCATCATGTGATATTTATTGAAATTGGTTTCTCTTGCTAGCATAAAAAAACGGCTATTAGTCTAACCACTGATTTAAAACCTGGATTGGTTGCTGTTTTTATATTTTTATTTATATAATCACTTCCTGTGAAAGTTTCAGTGAATGATCGATGTTTGCATCCTTTCTGTATGATCAATTAAAAGTGTATAATTCTGCCAATTTTTTTTAAAACAAGAGAAATATGATTTGAAACAGGACTTCTTGCCAGGTATGGAATCTGTGCACAAGAACGGTTACAAAGAGGTAGTTGGGCTGAGACTACTGGGAGGGATTGTTGAGCACATTGCAACGGCGCCGGACGCGCTCGCAAAGACGCAAATGGTTTGTGCACACTTGGAATTAAATTGTCTTGCATACTTTGTGCCATACATGCCAACCAGTGCGCAGAGGCGATTGGCTCCCCGCTTGGAGCTCTTGAAATGGTCACAAAGTGCCAATTACTGTTCTTGCACGGAATCCGTCGGTTTGTGCACATTCAAATGTAGTGGTTGTTGTGATTTTAGTGCCATCCTTGCGCAAACCGGCGCACAAGTGGCGCGTCCAGTACACTCATGAGGGGTAACAAAGCCCATTGCTACTGTTCATGTACAGAGTCAATATTCCACGCATATGCTATCTTTTGTTTTGCTCAAGTCACCAATTTGCGCCATACGTGAACCTAGTAATAGTCTGTCACCCCTAGACTCTGAAATGGTCATGTGTCATTCTGATCATAATATACGTGTTACAGACAGGACTTGCTTGTTGGCAAGGTGATCACCTATGCTTGGTCTTGTGTTTAAATGCTTACTGCTGATTGGTTAATCCCAATTTTTGCTTGGCCAATTGCAGTTGATAAATTTTTAGATTTGGATATTGTATTTCTGGAATAAGGTTCCACACTCATAAAGAAAATGCATCTCTTTTGTAAAGACTGAAATCAGAGATTACCAGAAATTTGTGGTTTTTCTTGAAAAATAGGTATTTAAATTCCAGTTATATTAGGAAATTTGAAAATAGCTCATGTCATTAAAAGACAATATTCAACAATTTGAATTAATATAATTATGGTGAATTACTGAAATATAATTAAAAAAACAATCAATTAGATTTATGCAGAAATAATGCATAATATTTCCCATTGTTGTATTGAAATATAATGTTTAGAATTAGAATTTGTCATGATAGAATGTTTTGTATAGAGAAAATGGAGGTCCTAAGGACATTTTTTAAAATATTTGCCAAATTGTGAATGGAGACACATCAAAAGATGTAAAGTCAATTTTAACTACAGAACCAGTATTTGGCTGTAATTCGCTTAGACGTTTGTGTTATTTTTGTTCTTTTTGTGGCCACAATAATCCTGCATGCTTGAAAAATCTCATTGGCCTTATGCCATGGTTACATTGTTACCATGGTTACATTGTTACCATGGTCGCAAGTTTCTGTGACAACCAGAATACTTTTTTTTAACTGGTGGGAAATACTGGCCTTTTTTTGGGGGGGGGTCGGTTTTTTTTAAACTGTGTACTTTTTTTTCGGGATAGAATTTGTGACATACTGTAAGATATAACATTGGAAAAATGTCACGCCATGTACATATGATTTGTGTCTCTGGGAACTGTGGGCGGGGCATGTGATGCCCTAGTGGGAGGTAAGATCACAAAACATACTGTCATTTTGTATATGTTTGTCATGTCCGATGTTGTCGTCTAGGTGTGTAGAGTCTTTGAAGTTAAAAAGACAAAGGTGGATTATAGACAAAAGATTGCACATGTAGAATCTGTGTACAGAAAGCAGCTGAAGGATATACCGTAGCCACATTAGGGTTCAAGGGTCACGTGTCTTAGTTTTGTCACTTTGATCACCGCAGTTTTTTTCTAATGTACATTTTTTGCGAAAGCTTAGAAAAAAAAACACACACACACAAGCGCATTTTTGTGCTCCGAAAGTTGTTAAATAGAAAAATGTATGTTATGTCTGGATATGGAATATCCACAAACTGAAATCTTTGAAATTAATGCTGTTATATTCTAATGGATTATTTAGCATAAGTTTTGTTTTGTTGTGTAGAAAATGTTGTGATTTTTTTCTGTATTGATAGTATTATTCATTCAGCATATTTTTTTTTTAAATTTTAATAGGTATACCAGTGGAGGTGGATTGCTTTGTGTATTAATGATGAGTTTGGATGCGATTAATCCCAGAATGCCTTGCGCATAAGTACATGTGGATATGTTTGGAAATTCATGCTGTATTAAGACTACTAGACATATCTGAACAGATGCGGGGACCCTATTTGAAAAGACAGTGACTACATTTCAGAGTAATGAATTAAGAACAGACAAAAAAAATGAACCAATGTACAACCGTTACAAATCAAATATATTCACAAAATATATTCCTCTATCTGATGATTACCGATACATTTTGGGGACCTCTGAAATTTTTTTACCACCAATACAAAAAAAAAGGGTTTTAAAGCCAATATACCGGTATCCAAGTACAGATATCCTACATATATATCGTATACATATTAATTGTGTAGTCACTACCATTGCCATTACATTTTATCATTTTGTTTAATTGAATGTGGTTTTTTTTACGGCCAACAGGCAAAAAGATGAATGGGTCGATGGTTACTAAAGGTTCACAGGTTGTTGTGGTTTCACTCTGAACTATGACCTCTACAACTCGGATTTCATCTCAACAACTCAGATTACAGAATTTAAAAGGTTCTAGGAAAATCCTGTTTGCATTGTCCTTGTTTTAGGAAGAAGGAAGACCAGGAATCCATGTGCAGACATTCAAACTTGCCATGACATATTCGACAGCCTTGTTGCTCAAAACCAGCTTTTGCCAATTTCTGACTTTTTATTGGTGGGATGGAAACAAAATAGTCTCCCTTAAGGTGTCCCTATCAGCTACTGATGCCAAGAATCCTACCTTTAGAGATATGTCAGGGCTGGAACAGAAGCGACATTTTAACTTTTTTTCTTTTTGTCATGACCCTTCATCTTGGAAGTAAACATTTAATGTATTCACTTTTTTTCTACTGCACATCTCATTTGCTTTTTGCATGTACCTCACTTTTGTCGTAGGCACAGGCCTTTTTCTTCTAGATAGCTTAAATTGAAATTCCGTTGTAATATTTACGGCTTAGCTTCTAACAATGCCTGACTTTCAACCCCAAAATATCTAGCTGTCACATGAAACGATAGTAAGGGATGTGGAAGCTGTCTTCAATTTTGATGATAGAAATTGGGATATATTGTAAATAATTCTAAGAAAATTCTAAAGAAACATCTGGGGGTATAATTACTGTAAGCCATGTATATAGATTTTGTGTTGATCAACACTTGTTTTAAAGACTGAAGTTTTCTATTTAAAACACAAAAAAATGCACCAAGTGTATACATTACCGTGTCAATATAGGTAGTAGCTCATAGCTTTTTGAGTTTGTGTAACTGTACAGTATGTAAGAGATTTGACGAATCACGTATGTTATATGAAATGAACAATCTTATTTGAGTTCAGTGGATACGCTGTGTTTGATTTAGTAAGTGTTATCAGTTGCAGGCACACATCACACACTATTGAGATCTCTGGCTATATGTATGAATAATTCATGTTCAAAAGCAACCAATGAAAACGGCTGTCTTGTTTTGCCTAAAGTTGGTCGGGTCTGCGGTTAATGAAAATGAAATTGGCCAAACTGCCATCTGAAATTTAACCTCACTGCTGGATGAAATGTAAAATAGGAGTACATTATTATCTTTCATCTGTGTGGAATTTACTAAGTATTTTAGCCCCTGCATCCTGTCCGTCATATTTTTCTTGTCTTTTCTCACGAAGAAAGGTGTAACTCTAAATTTTTGCCAACAACTTTTGTGGGTTGTCTGAAATGATTGCTCTAAATAATACCTCTAATAATTGCACCATCTAAATTGCCAACGAGTGTTCAGTGTTATAAACACACACACATCTGAGATGTGTCTCCAATTTGAAGCCTTCCTTCGGGTTCATTTATTTGAGGTTGTCATTAGAATTACTCAAATTTTTTTAAAATCCCAGGGCTTTTTTCAAGCAAATGACACACTTTCAGTGTCTTGGAAAGCCTTGTCCCATGTCCCAACCTCAATTAATTAATACGCATGTTACCATGAATGAAGCACACTGCCACGTACACGTACATTCATAACAAGCTTTTTTTGTCAACGTTTCTTGGACTTGACTTGAGACTTACAGAAGTTCTATCAAGAGCAAGCTTGACAAAAACACTCGGGAGAATCTCT